AAAATTATATAATATTAATTGGGGATAAAAATTAGATAATAATATATATTAATAAATCAGTAATAAATAGTCGAAGATAATAATGATAATAATAATACATATTATATATATATATAAAAATAAAAAATAATTGGGAACCATTATTGCGTGAAGTTAGTTGCCGTTCTTATTCTACTTCATTATGCATTTATGTAGGATGTTACAAGAGCTCTGACTTGTTTGAACGTATGTACAAGACAAAATTAGAGTGCGAACTCTCGTAATACCATCTTTCGATTTCTGTCCTTGCATAATCTATACGACAGATGTTGGTGCCAACAGATTTTGTAAACAAATCTCTTTCGTACATATGTTCTAATGAGAAACGTTGCAATTGTCTTGCAATTTTGATTTTTTTCTTTTTCTCTCTTGTCTTTTCTTTTAGTTAATAAACGAGAATAAAATAAAACTATAGGTAGAAAAATTCGTTGCTGTTGTTTCCGATGGAAAAGAGGAAAAAAATTTTTTTTTTAATAATCGTTATGTGTTACAGTTTAACATCGCGACAAATGAAATTTAACGTAGTCCGATTCAGTCGGATAGTGAAAACATTCGTGCTACCTGTGCTGTAAGTAAAATAGATTTATGCACGATATATACGTTAAATATATTGTATATGTATTGGTTCTTGTCTTTTACATAAGAAAGATTACCGATGATGCAAAGTACGAAAAAAGAAAAAGAAATAGTATTATCGAGTAGCCGACTTTTGATCATTTTTAATCCGTACTTTAAATAAATTAATAAAACATTCGTATAATATAAGAGATCAGTATAACACCCTGATTAATAAAAAAACTATTAATATTTAAAATAGATGGATTATAGTATTTATAATAAAATATCAATAAAATCTAATAATAAATAACAACAAAAAAAAGTACAAAATGTAATTTATGCAACACTTACACTTTTGATTATTTATAACGAAAAATATGTACATATAATACTTTAATCATTTATTTCATAAAATACTTATCGTCAATTAATAAAACTACTAATTAAATAATTAAAAAATATTATCTAATAAAATGATTATATATTATACTCCATGGAATCTATCTTACCATCTTAGCCATTTTCGTATTGTTAGAAACTTGAGCAATGCGTTAAAAGATGGCGCAACGTGTGAAAGTCGACAATGGCGCGGTAATTTATTAAACATTCAAATTTCGTGTCGTATATTTCCTCACAATGAGGAAAATGAGATCTCTTCCGCGGTTCGAAGAAACAAAAAATTATCATAAATACTTAATATTTATTTTATGCAACTCTAAAAGAGACGACGAGCGAGTACAATTCTACTATTTCGTTTTGAGATCATCCCGGAAAAGGACGATTACGTTAGAGTCGTCCGTTCATCTTTGTTATAATTTAACCACGCGTTCTCTTTCTTCGAATTAAAACAAAAGCTCTCTCATTAAACTAACTGTTACGTCCGGTTACATTATTCGATCGTTCTCTTACAACCTGAACATTTATCTCTTTATTATAATTGAAACGAATATTGATGATTTTGAACAAAAAATATATTAATCATTTTCTTCCCCATCCCCTTATATTTTTTCTACATTATTATTCTCTGTAGGCTTATCGGATTGCAAAATAAGTTTAAAACGTACGACACAACGACGACACGATGTTGTTCGTTGCTAATGGTTAATTACTTTGCTTGCATAATCGAATGTTGAAGAGAGACAGACGTTCAAATGATTCCATGGTCTTACTATACGCACGGCCGCATTATTTGTCGCGACTCGTCATTATCAGCTTTCATTGCCATCTCAGAACATTTCACACACACACACACATAATATATATATAAATATAAATTATTCGAGACCACTCATAGCAGAGAGACTCAAGCACACTCCTAGTACGAATAAAAAGAGACACAAAAGAGATTGATGATTACACATTTAATTTGAGCCAAAACTTATGACGTGTATCAAAAGAAAAGGATATACACGCACACACACAATGTTAAATCGTTATCTCGTCCCAGCAACAAGAATCTTAACAAAAAATCATCAAATGATAAAATCATTTCTTATCGATAATATACAATCATATACCGCGCCTCTTGTGTGCTAATAAATAATATATGTTATCCAAAGAAACGGCAATACGAAGCCGAATCGCGTTATCTTGATAACAAATAAGGCCGATTCGTAACTTAAGTAAACATATATAAATGTTAGAAGTAAAAAAAAAGTATACGAAATGAGAGATTACAATCTAAAAGAAAAGAGAGAGATAGATAGATAGATAAAAAATAATAAAAAGTTTGGAGGAGGGAAAAGAAGATCTAATAGTATGTATGTAACCACTGTACACGTGTGTATGTATGTAATATGCATGCATGTGTAAAAGTTGATTCCAAATCGAAATGTTGAAGTGGCCAAAGTTGATTTTGTTACGCGAAAAGAGCAGTTTCCTGTTATGAAGTAGAATCAAAAGTAGAGATGAACATGGGGGATAAGGATAAAATTGGGTGGGGTAGGATTGGGTGGTAGGAGAAGGGGATAGAGGGGGGATGTGCATAGATAGAGAAAGAGAGGTAGTAAATGGTCCTACGGTGTATAGGTGCGTAATATCGACCGGGTTGCCTTCCGTGCTGGACGAGGTGCCCCACCCTGTAGTGAGGTAGTAGGGATTGTGCGTTTCCTTTTCACTGTGTATATATATATATGTATATGTATATGTATAGTTTCTACATGTGTAAGTACGTGAATGTATATAGAAAGAGAGAGAAAGATAGATAAATAGAAAAAAAGAAAGAAAGAAGAAAAAAAAGAAAAGATATTACTAGATATCTTCTTCAAAGTTTTTTAATGATAGCATTGTTAAGATCAGTGTTGTTCCAGTTAAAGAACTATTTCGAAGGGTTACAAATTTAAGAGTTTATGGTGGTGGTTGGTTGGTTGGGTGATGGTGGTGGTGCTGTTGCTGCTGGTAGTGGTAGTGATGGTACTGGTTGTTGTGTAGAGTGGAAATAGGTGGTGGTGGTGGTGGTGGTGGTGTTCAAGAGAGAGAGAGAGAGAGAGAAGAGAAGAGAAAGGGAATCAGGGGGTTTACGTACGCAGGCGCAGGTGAATTGTAAAGAAAGAGAAGGAAGACTTTGGGCGAGGGTGTTTTAGGGGATGGTGGTAGAACAAGCTGAATATAGAACCGGCACACACCACCACCACCGTCGCGCCCCGGTGGTCGACCAGACGCAATTCCCAGCATCCCGTTCGCGTTTTAACATTTCCACATTATTCTTATTCTTCATCGAATTTCTAATCGAATGTCTGTCACGTGGCTTTTTGTATTATAAACTTTTTAAATAAGATTTTATATCTCTCTTAATTCTATACAAATATCGTTGTCTTCGTCTTCGTCGTCGTCGTCGTCTTCGTAGTCGTCATCTTCGTAGTCATCGTCTTCATAGTCGTATATTTATTATTTTCGATTATAATTATTAAATCAAGAGGAATATCTATTCCGATAAATTTTCTTTACATTTCTCTATAAGAGAAAAGGGAGGGGAGTAGTAACTATTTTTTGAAGTGCCAAGTGAAGTGATAGTTTGAACGAAATTTTAGTTTAAACAATTTTTTTTTAATATCATCTGCAGCTTGTTATTCAATTTTTAACACGTGACTGATATCTCTTCTTTTTCTTCTTCTTCTTGTATCAAAGTGGTGTGTCCTCCTGTTATTACATAAAAGATTATTCTTTCATTGGTCGGGAATTGATTTGTTTTGTAATCTTTGATATATAAATACTATTATCTCTTTCTCTCTCTCTCTCTTTCTATACGTAATTTTATTGGAACAGCAAATTTATAGTCTTGACACAGGTGGTTTTTTGTTTAATTAATTAGTTTAAAAAAAGAAACTAAGATTAAGAAGAGAGGTTGTGAGATACTTTTCTACTAAAGTATTTTTGTTCCTATAAATTATCTTCCTATTCTCTCTCTGGACCAATTCCATTATTCCATCTCTCTCTCTCTCTCTCTCTCTCTCTCTTCTTATTCTTCTTCGAATATACACGAGGGTGCGTCTCCGGTTAGGCTAATCTACACAACATGGGCGGGTGCACATCGAAGGATACCACCTCGGCCGACGAGTATGTATCGGATAGATCATTCATTGTTTTATTTTATTATTATTATTTTATATAATATAATATCATTTAATTTAATCTGTTTGAACATATTATACGTATTAATAAAAAAAGAAAAAAAAATATATATATGAATAAATAATTGTACGTTTCTTTATAAATAGAAAAATAATATATCCTTGATCAGAGGGTATAATTTATTATTATTATTATTATTATCGTAATAATTACATTTTATTCTAACTTATACGTACATTCGGCCATATTGGAAAAAAAATAGAGTAGAATGGCCATTGTGTTTTTCAGTAACAAAATAAAATTATTTTTATCGTATATCAATAATTATTAATTATAATTATTGTTATAATATTATATTAAAGATATATTTTTTTTTTGTTATTTAAATAAAAAAAAAAAATAGACTCGCGCGCATAGATTTACACAGATAATTTTCTATCTAGAATATAATAAAAATTGAGTTAAGTTTTATTTAGATTGAGATTGACGTTATGTGACGTCATATTATCCTGACCAAAAGAAGAAAGTTAAAAAAAAAAAAAAGAAAAAAAGCGCAATGGGTATATGTACTTCGATGGGCATATGCGAATCGACGGAAAATACTCCAGCGATCGACGAGTATGTACAAAATGTGTAATTTATATTCTTCTCTATGTGCAACAACAGCAACAAACAAAATTCAAATGAAGAAGAAAAGTTTTGTTACGTACACGTCGATTACACTGGACATTTATTTCTATTTTTCTTTTTTCTACACCGATCTATGTTATGTCCGCACCTATGTTCGAGCACACATTTCCTTCTCTTACGTACTTTGATTGATAAATAAATTATTATGTACAAAAACAAAATTAAAAAAAAATATATTCTGTCGATCCCATTCTGTGCGTGCGTGCGTGCCCATCGTTATGCATGAATTTTGCACAATTTAATTACAAAAACAAAAAATATTCTACGTGTTTATCACACACATGTGAAATTATCAAAAAATGAGACAATAATTAATTGTTTATAAATTTTTTAATTTATTTCTGTATAATATATATATATATAATATGTATTATCCGATTATTATGAACCAATATAAATAAATGAAATTTAATGAAATGTACGTTTGTGATTTCAGTAAAAAGGAAAGCAATAACATGGTCGACCAAGCAGTATTGGATAAATTGGAAGCTGGCTATGCCAAGCTTGCCGCTTCCGATAGCAAATCGTTATTGAAGAAACATTTAACGAAAGAAGTATTCGATCAACTTAAAACGAAAAAAACATCTTTTGGTTCAACCCTATTGGATGTGATCCAATCTGGATTAGAGAATCATGATTCTGGCGTTGGTATTTATGCTCCTGACGCCGAAGCCTACACCGTTTTTGCTGATCTCTTTGATCCCATCATTGATGATTATCATGGCGGTTTTAAAAAAACCGATAAACATCCTCCCAAGGATTTTGGAGATGTTGATTCTTTGGGAAATCTTGACCCGGCTGTAGGTTTTCTTTTGATAAGAACAATTAATTAACAGTTTGATCATTATTTCAATTATACATATTTTTATTGATTGTGATTTTAAGTTAAACAATTAGCAGAATGTTGATATAAGTGTTTTTTTTTTTTTTTAAGTTACTAATAAATCGTTGATTATTTTTTTCTAGGGTGAATTCATTGTTTCCACCCGTGTCAGATGTGGACGTTCATTGGACGGTTATCCCTTCAATCCTTGCTTAACTGAAGCTCAATACAAAGAAATGGAAGAGAAAGTATCCAGCACTCTATCTGGTTTGGAAGGCGAATTGAAAGGAACTTTCTATCCATTAACCGGCATGAGCAAAGAAGTCCAACAGAAATTGATTGATGATCATTTCCTTTTCAAAGAGGGTGATCGTTTCCTTCAAACTGCCAACGCGTGCCGTTTCTGGCCAACCGGTCGTGGTATTTTCCACAACGATGCTAAGACCTTCCTCGTATGGTGTAACGAAGAAGATCATCTTCGTATTATCTCCATGCAAATGGGTGGTGATCTTGGACAGGTTGGTTAATACAATCATTTATTTTCTATTTTATTATTATGAATATTGTTATAAAAAAAAAAAAAATCAAACCATTCAATCAATTACAATATAATATTCGATACTTTGTATAGATAAATATTGTCGCTAAATCTAATATTTAATATCTCTATGTTTTTATACCAACACATAGACAGACACGCATACAATCCTCCTACAATTGAAATATTATTTTCCAGGTATATAGACGTCTCGTAACTGCCGTTAACGACATCGAGAAACGACTTCCATTTTCCCATAACGATCGTTTCGGCTTCTTAACATTCTGCCCAACGAATCTTGGTACAACGGTTCGTGCATCCGTACACATCAAAGTACCCAAGTTGGCAGCCAACAAGGAAAAACTTGAATCTGTAGCTGCCCAATACAATCTTCAAGTACGTGGTACTCGCGGTGAACACACTGAAGCCGAGGGTGGAATTTATGATATTTCCAACAAGCGTCGTCTTGGTTTGACTGAATACCAGGCTGTTAAGGAGATGCACGATGGTATTGCCGAATTGATCAAGATTGAGAAGGAACTTTAAATGAATAATTCAAATCAATACAAAAAGTATAAAAAAAAAAAAAACAGTAATAAAAAAACAAGATAAAGAAGAAACACATGCAAGAAGAAGAAAATACACACTCCTTTTTACGTGAATGATGGATTCCTATATATATATATATTTTTTCTTTTTCCTGTTTTAAACCATTATTATTATTGTTCTTTATTATTATTATTATTATTATTATTATTATTATGAATTATTATAATATTTTCCCCCTTCGTCGTTTATTTCTATTCACATTTCTCGTTCCAATGCAAAAGCACTGTATTTTTCTGCCCGTGCTTCTCTTCTTCTTTATTTGCTTGTTCCTTTAATTTTTTTTTTTATTTCTCAATCTATCTATCTATCTATCTCTTTCTCGCACGCGCGATACCATATTTTTCTTTCTTTCTTTTTTTTTTTTTTTTTTTTTTTCTTTGGTTTGTTGGTCTCTCTCTGTCAATCTCCACGAACTTTACTTTGGTTTTTGTTTTAACAAGAACACAATTATTAACAATTATTAAGAGCATGAGTCGAGATTTAGGAGCGTTTCCAAAAAAAAACGCGCATATTCCAGCTAGCGCTTTTGTAGTAAAAAAAAACATTATTACCAGGTTGTAATGGTGGTGATTAATGATGACGATGATGATAATGATTATTATTATTATTATAATTATTATTATTACTATTATTATAATGATGATAGTGGGTGGATATGAGAATGATGATGAAGAAAGCGAATTTCAAATCACAAATAAAGAAACATACACATTTTATTTATCGTCTAATTTTCAATATCCACAATAATCATTTTTTTCCTTCATATATATTTCTTTACATATAATGTACATTGAAAATTAATTATTATATTTATTGTTCGAGTATGTATGTATATATATATATATAATATCTTTTTTCACACCAAAAGAGTATTACAAAATATATCGAAGTTTAATATTTTTAAATATATAAGCTTCAAAAAACTTAGCAATAATATTTAATTAAAGACACACATATACATTCGTCGAACATGAAAGTTTCTTGCTTTATATAAGGAATAATTAATTATTAATATATATTTATTTAAAACATCACAAATTTTAGTTGTATTTCTATTTAAATCGTTTGTGCGTGTATTTGTACATATATATGTATATGTATATATGTATACACGATTTTATTAGGAAACACATACATGTGTATGTATTCAAGAAATAGGAACACACATGCATTAATTGCAAGAATATATATATATCTGATCGAAAGTGTAAGATTTATTGACTAAATGAAGTTTTCTCAAAAACTAATATTCGTATAAATAATCGAAGACATTAGAAGAAAACGCGTTTGTTCTGTTTAGTTTTAAATAATTCGTTACTAGTTTCAATTTAATATAAACAATTCGGTAATATATATAATTCCCAAAAGAAATCAAATTAATTGGCAGAACTTTCAAAATACATGAAATCCTGTAATTGATAATTGATAATTAATTACATATCATGTTACACGTATTAATAAATTAGAACCTCCAGTATTCGAATTAATATAGAAACATAATAATTGTTCGGATAAAGGAATTTCCATATAAGTAGAATGATGCTGCTAGTAATTTTCCTTGCATTTTCATCATTTTTTCATTTATCGAGTATTCCCCATTTTTTTTTAATTTCAATCTTTAATACTAAACGTTTCCTTTTTAATATCATTATACGTAGAGTTGTAAATGCGTTAACTATCAATTTAATATATAGTACACAGCAATAAGAAAGATATAATATTTATTATACAAAAGAGATGTATTACGTTGTCGATTATCGACTTTTATAGTAGAAAATAACACAAGTAAGAAAATGTGTATGTCGAAACTAGATCATTGGATACTGTAGGTTTCAATATATATATAGGGTGTTTCATAATATGTGGATCCTACTTCAAGAGTGCACAAGAGACACTAAACCATGACAACAATTCATATAAACATGTGTTCTTCTAATTGATCATGACGATTATCATTTCGAACATTTTTTATAAAGATAAGCTATCGCGGATTATTATTATTAAAACACAATAGTAACTATAACTTTAAAAGAAGATCAAATAGAATACAAGTTTATATGAACTTTCTTCGTTGTTCCTTGTTTTCTCCGTTCACTTCTGAAATCGATTCCACATATTGCGAAACACCCTTTATATAAAATTATAATTGAAATATTGTTATTATATCGTACTTACTATCAAAAGGCATGCACCGAGTAGAACGGCTTTGATTTTAACGTCCAGATCAATCGGAAAACTTATACCAAAATTGTCAGCATCCGTAAAAATTTCACGAGAAATGCCGCTCCATTGTTTACTGATCACACCAACTCGGTGAACACCATCGGCAGATTTTACCTAATAATCGATTAAAAAATATAAGAAACTATTAAAGTGTTATTTTATTTGATAATGATGATGATGACGATTATGCTTATAATATGGATTCGTGAGAAAAATATTTGAACGTTTAAAAAAAAGTCTAGAATTGCCTAACATTTATATTTATAATACTGCTATCACTTTAGCAACTATTTACAACTACTGAGCTAGCCAAAATCCGAATTTAGGATTTTTAGAATGTTACAAGTTCATCAAACAATTACTTAGATCACCGACTTATTTATTGGCCCTAAAAACAAATACTTCTCACAAATTGTTAACACATATACACCAAACGAAACATGCGATCGATGTAAAAAAAAAAATTAATCGGGCCTTTAGATGAGTCTGAAATCCACTGGGATTAAAATCTAAAATTGTTTTCGATATATTCTTCTCTTTCTAGGGAATTATTTGTAATGAAATTTCTTAAGGATGGGGATCATCTAATCACATTTAAATGAAACTGTTCAACCAAGACCCCATTGTGGACTTAATATATAATTGATTATAGAAAATGAATGTATAATTACTTTAAAAGTAGCTTCTAGACAACGTAATAACGGTCCTTTTATTGTCAGTACCGTATCGCCATTTGCATTACGTATTGAAAACCATGGCCTAAAAATACTCCAATCTTGAACAACCGATCCCAATAAGACACCACCAGAATAAACTTCCAATTCCTATATAGAAAAATAATAATAATAATAATAATAATAATAATAATAATCCATTATATAGATGGACAAATTTAAATATACATTTAATGAATATTATTATATCGATTGTTATATTAAAAGATAAACCTGTAAACAACACGGACAGCAACAACTATCACATTTCAATGGACGAATCATATGAAGAACTTCTCTTCCAATTCCATCTAATACTTGGAATTCGCAACTGCGATAATTTCCGCAACAGTAACGTGAACAACAGCTTGATTTTTCAGCTACATAATAAATTTGTTCACCCCTTATGTTCATTACTTTGTATTTATTTTTAGTTTCAAAATCGACAATTACTGTGAAAATAATTTCATTCAATATTATTCATTTTACGATATAATTAGAAAATATATAATATATATATATATATATGTTTCAAGATTAATATTATTTAAAAGATATCATTTACTGGGTTATCGAATTATAAATAAACAAATCTTATCTATTAATAGAAAGTGATACGCGATTATTATTGAAATATATTATAGCAATTTCGTAAAATCATATTTAATGAGGATTTAACGGAAATTTTATACAAATTATCACTTTCCTCACTTACATTAGATATTCAAATAACACAGCTGTGATTAATCAGTCCCTCATCAATAATTTAACGTCGTAAACAAATATAGATCTGTCATATATGCAAGACATTTCAAAATAATTGGGAAATAATTTTTATGATTAATTTCTACGCTAACATACATCAAAGAATTCATATATATATAATAGATTAAATTTGAGTTTATATTTAATACACATACCTTCGAAAAGTTCGACCTTTTGTTTGACAAATAAATGATCAAGGCCCATAAGGTATTCCAAACCTGGCGGACAAATCGTATTCGTTGCGGGCCAACCACCTATAAATATAAAACACCTTTTTGTTGTTTCTTTCATATACACATTTTTTTCATTCTCTTTTTATTAATGGTCTTCAATAAATTAGACTTAATTGATGAACAACATTAATCAATGTTATTTTTAATAATAGAAAAAAGGGGGGGAAAAAAAAAGAACGAAAAAAATATTATTCTGGAAGAAAATATTTCATTAAAAAATAAACAACAATCGAATCGGTATCCGAAAGAAGAGTTTGTGTTACATATTGCAAACTTGAAACATAGATCAGTATTTCTCAAACTTTTCCACTTGACAATCCTCCTTTTTATCCGGGGAAAATATTTTTTCGGATTGTATTTTATCATAAACTCAACAAACACATATTATATCAAAGTGATTTCGAATGAATTTATCCATCGTTATTAATTTTAAGAATTTGTTAATTTTATTCCAATTCCTGTGAATCTCAAATATCTCAAATATAGTTTACGGAACTTCGTACGGATTCGAGACCCATACTTTGAAAAAAAAAAAACAAATATGACATAAACTCTTCTTCGAGACACCCGTTCAAGGATTATTTTTTTAAACCTTTTTTCATCGTCGGTTAAAAATCTAGTATATCCTTTCCTTTTCGAACGACATTTTCTAATCGTTTCTCTAAACAACGTACGAAGAAATCTACGAAATTGTTCCACTTTTACGTTCCAGGAATCATCGAAATATTCCGTATCCATCACTTCACTTTATTTTCAATAACGTTCAAACATTTATTTTCCTTTATCTTCTCAACATATTTCTTTTTTTTTTCCAATTTTTCTTAGAATACCTTTTTAAAAAATTATGTTGTCTTTTTTTTTTTGTTTACTCGCACATCTTGTCCCGTTGATGTTATTCCTCGTACAATAACGATCGGAATAATTAATGCATGTTTATAATATTAACTTTTAGAAGATAAGAGAAGTGGGCTCTGAGACATTGAGTTTTTTTCCAATATACGTTTGTTGTGTATAAAAAAAAAATTCTTATAATCTTCTTCTTGTTAAAGATAATGGTGTAGAATTATTTTCCTTTTCAGGATACACACACAAACACACACATACATTTATATTTATATTTATATTTCTCTATCTTTATCTCTTGTTTTTTCTTTCTTTCTTTTTACTTTTATCTTTTTATTGCTAGATAAATTTAAGGGACAAAATGGGAACAAACTTCTTCGATATAACAATCTCAAACAATTGATAATATTCAATTTAAGTATACTTGTCTTATATCATTTCAGAGTAAAAAAAAATGTCATACTAATTATTTCAATAAGAAACAGATTATTTAAAACGAGTATTATATATAAAACTTATAAGAAAAAAAAAAAAAAAGCAAACCCCCCATTTCTCACGTAATAATAATTATTATTTAAATGTAAGAAAAGAAATGTGTTTGAATAATTATTGTACGCATAAGACAAGCCTTTAACGTTGAATTAAATAAATCAAAAAAACACGTGTTCGTTTGTTAGAAATTTGGAAAAATAACTTTTTTCTTAGAAATATACATTTCATCACTTCACTCACTCACGTTTTTTATTATTTACAAAACGATAAGATTAAAATTTCAATTATTTTGCATTATTTGTTCTTTTCCTTTTCTTTCATTTATCACAGCATTTAACGGTCACAAATTGATGTTTTAAGATTATTATCGTTGTTGAAATAATTCGTAGGAATAAGTTCCCTTTCGATATTAATTTATTTTTGAAAAAGCAATTTATTATCTATAAATGTATAACGCTCGCGAATTTAATTGACAAAATTAAATTAATCTTTCACTTCCTCGAAGAGTGTATAACAGATTTGATAAAACTTAAAATGAACTCCGTACGTCTATCTGTCTCTCTGTATCGTTTTTTCTGTCTATCTATCTGTCGTGATCTGATAAGAGGCAACAATTCGCGTAGGTGGGAGTACAGATCAACTGGGGGGAATAATCTGTCCGACATCTACATTAACGAACACGACCATTATCTAGTTACTGATCATTACATCTCCAGTAGCCTTTGCAAGTTTTATACTTCAAATATAAACCCTTTTACAAATAATATTCTACTTTTTAAATTATCAATCAAAAACCCTCGTGCAAATCGTATTATATAACATTATTGCAAATCAAATTCATCCTTTCCCAAATCAAATACGCCTTTTTTTTCAAGAAGAATATATGAATTTGATTTTTTAAAAATAAAAAACTTTAAATAATATTAATAGTTGATTTATATATATTTGTTTACCTGGCGGTGCTTGCGGCACAATTAAAGGCGTTGGAAATTCATTTGGTCCGGGTGCACTCGCAATAGGCATTCCTGGTTGATGATACATCGGTGTGGGAATCGAATTGGGTTGTGTAAAATACGGAGTAGTCATTTTTTTTTTTTTTTTTTTTTTATTCTCTTTCTCTCTTATTCTCGATTAATGTGTAACTACTTTACGAATTAATTATTTTCAAAAATATAAATATTTGAAAAACTTTCTATCTCAAAATTTGTCACACAAAATTATATATAATTATTATTTTATTATTGGTACATTGAATATTCGTACATTATTTTGTTTCAAAAGAAACCATTAACTTTCTTTTTTATTTAATTAATCATAATTTCCCTTTCCTCGTATGTGCGCGTTTTAAACCGTCCTAACAAACGATCTGAAAAGAAAAAGAAAATAATGAAGATAAAAAAATTATTTATTCGTTGAGAAAAAAAAACAAAAATTCCACAAAATGAAGAAACAATTTTACTTTGAATTTGTCCACGCGCAAACGTAGAAATGATTTTTACCGACCGATAAGAGAATGAAAAAATGCCCATATGGCCGCGAGATGACGCGACGAGCGCATCTCTCCGAGCGATCTACTATTACCGACACGAACGAACGTACTCGTACGTAGAAGGACGCGCGCGCGAGTGGGAGGAAATGCACCCTCCAAGTGAAATAACACGTTGCAATTTTTTCATCTTACGTACGAATATAATTGTCACGAAAAGAAAAGAGAAAAAGAAATAAATGTTCAATCAATTCTCTACTACAATTCATATTTTCATATATCGATATTATCGATATTATGGGAACTAGATGAAGAAGATGAAGTAGAAAAAGAGAAGGTTTAATATGATTAACTTTTTTAGCTAACCTCTTTCTTTGTCGTCCTGTTTTTGTAGATTTTGTCTTTTTTGTTTCTTTTCTTTTCTTTTTTCCTGTTTTTAATTTAATATTGAAACAATGCAACACGATGATGGTTAGGTCATCGCCCGGGAGCGGCGTAGTATGCTGGCGGCACGAGCCACTGTTAAAAGGTCATTGTAACTAATGTGAGAAGCGCGAGACGAACGGAATAACGATAACGCACCGCATATCACGGATAATAAGCATCCTTTCTAACTATTTGCTTACTGCAAGAAGAAATAACACATAACATGTAATTCGAATTCGATCGAAGAGAACAACAAAAACAAACGAGCATAAAGACTGTTCTTTCTGTTGACCATTTCGAATACAAATTTTGAAACGTTACAATTGGAATCTGATTTTCTTTTTTTTTTCTTTCTTTCTTTTTTCTTTTTTTCCTTATAATATGATAAATTTTATCATTTATTCGAATGACGCCATTGTCAAACAATTTACTTTTTCATAGATACGTGACTTAAGACAAATGACTAGCACATTTGCGCTCGACAACCGGTGTCTGATTCATCTGACAATCAGATTTTCTTATTATACATTATTTTGTTGTTTGCACGTCTATATAATCATCGAAATTACCACGGATCGGAACTTATACGACATACGCTTACGTACCGTCGCCATTTTTTCTTTTTATCGATCTTCTTTATCTCGAGTATTTTATTTGAACACAAATCCTCATTAAAAAATACACGTACCACTGTAATTATTAAGATTATAAAGATATAACACAGTTGAATTAGAATATGTTAGATAATTGGAGGACGTTTAGTGTATAAAAAGAAAAGAAAAAAAAGCGAAATGCATTTTGAAGCCTCTCGGATCTGGAAAACCAAATGACGCATGCGTTTGATTACATTTATCATACATACACACATACATATATAAACGAATATTTATTTAAGATAATATAAATTTCGAAGAGAACTTAAATGGGGGGAGGAAAATCCCTTACGAAGAAAGATTGTTCAACGTTTCGCTCCTGATCGATACTTATGCACTTGATTAGACTGAAATTTTCCGAGCTATCCGAACAAAAGATGATGTTTACGTTACATCTGTTGCAATACAACTGCATAACTATATCTTTGCGTTTTCTTGTCAACAACATGTGCAAAAAAAAAACGAATCTATCTATATTTAAATAAATATCATAATCGACATTATCTTACAAGTTGAGATACGAGGAAAAAAAGAAAACTAATCTTCGATTAATGTAAATATTATCAGTAATTATATATGTGTGTATACATAAATATATCTACTATTTACTGGTAATTACGACAGTGGATTAATTGTAAGTGGTGTAATTATATTTATTTTGTTATATTTTTGTTTTTAACAATATGAGAAAGTCATCCATCATATCTAACTTTTTTTTTCCAAAATTAGACTTGTACCACTTTCAAAAATGACGTCTCATATAACAGGTTGTCCTTAAAATTCAAACCGATTGATATTTTTAATATACATACAATTGTTTCACTAAATTGAGAGCGAGAGGAGCTTGTATGCATAGGAAAAAATGTCAATTTGTATAAACTTTTCGGGTAAACCAATATATAATACGCATACAAATAAAATATAATTTTTATATGTATATACGTATATGTATATATATATATATATGAATTAAAAAAGCGTCCACTCAATTTCCGGTTCTGATTCATCTAAAATTGTAAGAAAATTTGATATACTATAATAGAAAGAGAGAGATAGCAAAAAAAAAAAGATAGAAGAAGAAAAAGAATATTTGAGACGAAGAGAAACCCGTGTCACACACAAATGATGCATCGCTTAGTTATGTGCTTTCATCGTTGGGACGATGACGTCATCGAATCCGATTTGCGTCTATGTTCCCTGCTACCGCAAGGATCGTGACGAACGGTCACCGCACGCACTTGTGCATGCACGTATTAACACTACCACGATTCCACATATTTTCTACACGCATATGTATGTATGTAAATGTAACGACTAAGCGAACTTCCGGTTCTTGGGTTAAGAAAAAAAACGAAGGCATCGAACTATAAATAGTAATATCAAGAAATTATATATATATATATGTAAAGAAAGTGTCTCTACTCACGCACACGTACTTGAATTTTCAGTGCCCCTTCTTTTTTTATCCTTTCTTCCTTTCTTCTTTTGAAATACTTCGTGCGTTATTTTTTATCAATTTCCTCGATGGAACATCAAAGCGAATAAAGAAGAAAACTGTTACGATGAATATTTGTGTGTATGTATGTATATATATGTATGTACCATGCGTAATAGAATTTTTCATCGATCTATTTTCGAGTCTTCGCTAAGAGTACTTTATGCTTCGTTTTCATGTGGGTGTGTGTGCATACTCTAAAGTAAGATTTTTTCTTACATTGGTTGATATTTTTTCATTTTCATATTATATATATATATATATATATATATAACATACGTATATATATATGTATGTAAATATGTACATTACGATCACATATAAGAGTGTTCGTACTAAATATAATTTATAAAAATAATAATAATTACTGTAAAGAAAAATAAAATAAGTTGCATAAGATTTGCATTTTTAGATTTTCGAATAAAAACAAAATGGCGTTGTTAATACATCAGTTTAAACCTAAACGTTTAAATAAATAAATAAAAGAGCCATACCTTACCTCAAAGAAATTCATGCTCGGACTCGGAAGTATTATTATTATTAGTTCATAATTTTTATTATACTATGATTAAACAACAAAGAGAAAAGTTTGTTAAAAAACGATCTTTTTATCATACTACTACGACTCTATTACTCTAGGATCATCAAATTGAAATAACGGTTGAATGTTATCAGTAGTAATCCTAACAATGTGCTCTTTCCGAAGAGTAACCACAATGAACGTGGAACGGAACGTCGAGGTCGTAGATATCGTTAGCCTCCTCCTAAAGATAAGAGAAGCAAGTTAACGTTGGCCCTGCATCCGGTAAAAAGACAAGAACTTTCTTTCCTACGTTCCGGCTATCGTTGGTAGATGAAACAACACAAGCGCACGGAGAAAGAAAAGGAGAAAGAAGAAGGGAGAAGAAGAAGAAGAAGGAGAAGGAGGAGGAGCAGGAGGAGGAGGAGGAGGTGGTGGAGAAGGAGTAAGAAGAATATAAAGGAAGCTTAGAACGAAGCATCTTGAATTTTGATTGGTGGACGTTTAGAGCAACGCCCAATCAACATCAAGGATAACAGTATCACGTGGGGTGATCGGAAAAGCGCTCAGTGACGTCATTAATGAATGAGATGGAGCGCTTTCATGAACAATCGAGAATAGTAGAAGAAAGACAACAGATCAGATATTTGGTTCACGCGGGAGTGGACGAGTAAGGGTCGAGACTAGTGTAGTAGTAGTCTTAGTCGAGATCTAAGGACAGACGGACGAACTATTGGTTGGTTGATTGGTTGGTTGGTTGGTTGTCTGGTTGCTCGCTCGAACATAAGTTGACTTGGCTCGTGACAGACAAGAGGGAACATTTCTGTCGAAGGAAGGAAGGAAGGAAGGGAAAAAGGCTGAAAGGTGATTTTCAATATGGCGTCTCGCACGTCATAGAGAAGAGTACGAGACGAGACGAGACAAGACGAGACAAAACGAGAAGGATAGAAAGAAAGAGACAGAGAGATAGAAAGAAAAAAAAAAGAAGGAGAACAGTAACAAGGACCCAGCGAAGGCTGGTGCGTGTTTTATACGGACAGTTAAGGCGGTTCGCTGGTACGATCGGGATTGGCAGGAAGGAAGGAGGTGGAAGACGAGAAGGGAGGAAAAAGAGTGAGAGAGAGAAACAGAGGGAATAGTTGAAGAGAGTAGAGTAGCGACGACGTTGAGAGAAGCTGCGTGTGGTTGCAGCAGCAGTTGCAGTAGCAGGAATAACAGGAACACCACAAGTAGACAAAATAATAATAATAATAATAATAATAATAATAATAATAATAATAGTAATAAGTATAATAATAAGAATCTAAGAAGAGAGTGCAGAAGGCGTTGGTGTGTGTCATGTCTTCTTGCAAGTATCGGGAAGAAAAGTACCTTAGTGCCTGGGGCGAGTCTCGTAAGTGATATTTCCGATAGTACGTAGATCCCATCTCGATTGTGCCATCGATGCCTTTGTTCGAAAGGATAAAACGTCTTTCATTCACCACCAGTAGTAACAACAATAACAATAACATTAACAATAAAGGGATTGTACAACTATTGCATCGGACAGTGTCGTCACCGTTGTCGTCGTCTAAGGTGGAAGTGAACTTGGTGGTGTCGTCGTTGTCTGCTGTGTCATTACTACTACTTCTACTAAAAGTAATAAGAGTGTTGGTAGTAGTGTTGTTGGTGCGTGGAATAGAAGGAGGTGGTGGTGGAGGAGGAGGAGGAGGAAGAGGTGGTGGTGGTGGAGGTGGTGGTGGAAGTGGAAGTGGACAGTGTTGGTAGCGGCGGCCACGAGCAGCCCACAGTCTGCTTGCTTGCTTCTTCTTTTGTTTTTTTTTAGACGCACAGTGTTGATTGTAAAGACGGATATTAGGGATAAAAAGAAGAAGAAGGATAAAAATAATAGCAACGATATTGGCTGTCGTGTTTGTTGCTGTTATTATTACTACTACAACGACTACTACTAGTAGTAATAAGTAATACTATTGGTTTTCTAACGTTACTAGTTTTATTATTGTTAATCGTCTATTTGGATAAAAGAATTGGAATTTTGTTGACACTTAGCGAACATTGCTCCTTCCGCTTGACGTCTTCTCTCGGGTTACCTTTACTCTCGTGAACACGTTGAGGATCGAGGAAAGGGGAGGGGGTGGTGGCGGCGCCGGCGGAGGAGGAGGAGAGGAGGAGGAGGAGGAGGAAGAAGAAGAAGAAGAAGACAAGACTAGGAGGTGGTGCCATTGGCAACGATCACCACGACGACGACCAAGAAGAAGAAGACGACGAGGACGAGGACGACAACGAAATGCGCGAATTTAAAGTTGTCGTGCTCGGCTCGGGCGGGGTGGGCAAGAGCGCGCTCACAGTACAATTTGTTTCCGGTTGTTTCATGGAAAAATATGATCCAACTATCGAGGATTTTTATCGAAAGGAAATCGAAGTCGACAGTTCCCCGTGCGTACTCGAAATACTCGATACCGCCGGTACCGAGCAATTCGCAAGTATGCGTGACCTTTATATAAAAAATGGTCAAGGTTTCGTCGTAGTTTACAGTCTGACCAATCATCAGACCTTTCAGGATATTAAGGCTATGAAGGAGCTTATTACTCGCGTTAAAGGCACCGAACGAGTACCCGTACTACTTGTTGCCAATAAACTCGATTTGGAACATCAACGCGAAGTCGAAACAACCGAGGGAAATGCACTTGCACAACTTTGGGGTTGTCCTTTCGTCGAAGCCTCTGCTAAAAATCGTACGAACGTCAACGAGATGTTCGCCGAAATAGTGCGAGAAATGAACTTCAGTCCCGAGAAAGAGAAGAAAAGTTATTGCTGCTGCAGTGTCCTCTAATACTTAATTAAACCTTCCCTTTTTTTTATTATCGGCAATTCGTTTTATTCGTATTATTATTATTATTATTATAGATAGATGTTCTTAGTTATGCTGGCTACACATCGGCTTGAGAAGTTTATTGTATTATTACAAATTTATCTAGATCTTCATTCTTCTTTTTCTATTCAGTCTAATCATGATATTAACTCAATTATCTTTACTTATTCGTATTGATTTCTTTTACCATTAGATTGTATAGAGAATTTTTGTTTAAAATATTTTATCCTCGTCGAATTCTTCTAATTAGAATTTCATTTTCTTTTTTATTATTTTGATTTTTTCTTTTCTCTTCGAAATAAGCCAAGCCATGCGACAAATTCGCCAACCTTCAAGACTAATTTGTGGTTGTACTGAAAATTTGGAAAAACCAACGTTAAGGACTATATATGCTAGTTCAGTTCTTTTTCTATCGGAGGATCAAGGTCAGCCTTTTTTCTGGCGACCATTAAACGGATATTTTAATATACATTGATAGTATTATATGTAATATTGTAATATATAATGATATATGTAAGCAAGCATATAAAAGGGGGTGAATTCCTTTGGTAACGGACCAATATTCCAAAGTGACGAACATGGGTAAAACCAAGAGCAACATTATATTATTAGCCTGCGTTTGTTAAACCAAATTCGATTTAACTACTAACTTTTTTCGTACGTTGTTCGTTGTCCACTGGTCGATCCTAGTTCGTGTGGAAATTAGAAGACTTGCTTTTTTTTTTTTTCTTAATAAGAAAGTCACTGTGATGGTCGACCGTCCTTGCGAAGACGGTTGTGCTCTTTCTCTACTGAAGTAAATTTGGGATGACCTTCGTAAAATATATATATCGAATAGATAAGAGGTTTTAACAATTTATAAGTTTTTTTTTTTTTTTTTTTTTTTATATATTAAGTTGTATCATCTAAAGCGAAAAGAGATCTTGTAGAAGTTGTATACACGATTTTGGTTCGTACGCAGGATCAAGGTGTTGATCTTGGACAAGTTTTGTGCAATGATTTGCGTCAATAATATGTTACCTATGCTTAAGTGTTGGAGGCCTCACTAAAGAATACGTCGTATAAAAGAATATAATATGCGACCAAGATTTTAGCGGCTTTCGTATTAGTTGTACAGTAAAGCTAGTTCTAAAGAAATATTTTATAAAAATGAAGCAAATATAAAGAAGAACATCGTCAAATTGATATTGACAAATTGCGTTTGAGGTTTAAAGTGTTTTTGCTAAAAGGAAATATCCATTATTATCAAATGCGATTTTTCTTACACGATATTCTTCTATTTTTACTTTCTACTCATACTTTATATAATTATGTTGAGATCTTTCATGCATATCGCTTGCAATAAAATGAGAAAAATCGTTGATGACTTGACAAAAAATATGACGTTGACAAAGCTGCGATGTATAAATCTTTTTCCAAATTAAACTAGCAGAAGTTTTTAATTTTTATATCATTCTAATCTTAAAAATAAAAAAAAATGAACAAAAAAATAAGAATATGATTTTATCGTTATATCAGTTTATATTTTTATGAATTCATAAAAATAAAATTAAATAAAACAATGATTATAAATTCGTGATAAACTCTTTGTGCAAAAAAATGCAGACGCATTGATCCCAACGATTATATCCAATATGTGGTACTTGTAACAATGTCCAAAGTGTCCATTGCTTTGTATAAACGCAGAATCTCCTGGCGCAGTTCTACATTGTCAAATCAATCACAGAAAATATATAAAGAAAGAGAGAAAGATTGATAAGTGTAAAGGAAAAAAGGAGCTGCTCTCCCTGTATGTAGCATTAGATCGTGTGTAATTTTCTCGTGTGATCAAAATCATAAATATCGCTTTAATACCATAACAGTCATTTTATAGACTTGATCTATTATTATTAATTAATTAATTAATTATTATTATTATTATTATTTTATTATTTTATTATTAGTAATATCAACATTATTTAAAGTACATTCTCTCATAAAAGTAAAAGCCATTAATAATTTTTAAACAATTATAGATTACAATATTGTTGCTTTCTAATGTAATATTATTTCAA